TAGGTGGAGAGCAAATGTTTTGAGAATGATGAGGGCAATGAATGTACAAATGTGCTTTACACAATTGATGTGTGTATGGATTGTGAGAAGAGTTGGATGAGCCCCTAATAAAACGATTTTTAAAAAAGGATGTTCCTTTGGAAAGGGGATGCATGCTTTTTAACATAGTTATGAGACTCTTACACTTCTGGGGATAAGTTTAAGTCTTGTGTTTACTATAAGTGCTTTTTACTTTAAAGGGATGTAAAAGATCTTTATAGTACTTAACACAGATGTGTAAATATTAGTATAGCATTCTTTGCGTGCATGTACATAGCCTTCTGCCAGGACTCTTGTCGGTGTTAGGTGTGTAGTGACCGTAGAACAGAGTAGACCTGTCCCAGTGGGTTCCTAGGCGGGGATCTTCAGCAATGCCAGGCCTTTTCTCCTGCAGAACTGATGGGTGTGAATCACTACCATTCAGGTTAGCAGGAAGCGCCCGTTGTCCTCTAAGGTATCGTCCTATAAGTAGTGTATCACTCAGTTTTATGTACTGTTGCTTCACAGTGAAGAGCTGAATGTCGTCATGTCTGGAATCAAGCGAACAATCAAGGAAACGGACCCTGATTACGAGGATATATCTGTGGCCCTTCCAAATAAGCGGCATAAAGCATTGGAGAGTTCAGGTAGAAATTGACTTACTGAGGGAATTATTTTTTTGTTGACAGAAATGTATTGCCACTCTTGTGTATAATTTGGAGGGCTTTGGGGAGGAGGTAGCGAAGTGTTTTGTTTAATAACAGTGCATCCTGTGGCATAAAATAAAGGCCAGTGGTCTGGCAGGAACGCAGTCGAGGTAGCCAGTGAAAATGTCAATGATGAAATAGGGTGTCTGGTATAATCAGAAAGTCTTCGAAGTAAGGGGTCTGTAAGGTTGTCAGTATGAAGGGGCTTCAAAAACTGTGTGGGCCAATTCCATTATCTTTCAACTCACTTTACCACAGGCTCTTTGGAGCCCCTTTGTAGTTTCCAAGTATGATATATGTTCTACAGTGTGGTACAATTAAATGAGATGATTATAGCTATTTTTGCTTAAATAGTTTTATATTATTTTCATGTGTATAGACAAATTCATAATCTCACCAAATGCAAGTATTTGTGACTATCATTGCTCAGGATATGGCTAAGATTATTTAAAAATATTATTTGTGTGAATTAGATGTTTCACATGGTTCTCAGGCATGCTTGTTATCTTGAAGGTAGTAAGTGAATGATGGAAATTTGAAAAACATCGATCTAGTTCTAGTTCCTAAGTTCCTAAGCTTAACTGGCCTATTGCCCCCTTTTCACACATACCGAAAACATGACTCCATGTCCCCTGGCAATTAGAAACTCTTGTACTGTGGCCCATAACTCAGGGTAAAGTGCAGGTATCTGCTTTGCAGCCCCCTGGGTCATTCGGTGCTGCAGCCACTTACCCCACCCCCCACTCCCAGGCAAAATTGTCCACTTTGGGAAGCACTGATATAGTTCAGTTCTGCACTTAACTGCTGCTAATGGGTAAATTAAGACTAAGGGGCATCTAATTACTTTCCCAAGGTTATATAACTAGTTGAACAAATGATCAACTATGGTTCTCCAGTTCACCTAGAAAATTGGCAAATTTGCCCCCCTTTTTAAAAAGCTGTTTCTGAAATTAATAATTTATATTTCTATAAGTAAAGAGATTGTTATATTTTTATGCAGCTCGAGATGCTGCTGTACTGAAGATTGAGACTATTATCAAGGAACAGTTTGCCCTTGAAATGAAGAATAAGGAACATGAAATTGAAGTCATAGACCAGGTATAAGGATGATAAGTGTGTGTGTGTGTGTGTGTGTGTGTGTGTGTGTGTGTGTGTGTGTGTGTGTTGAAAGTAGGAAAAACCTCTTGAGATAGAGTTGGAGGTCTCTGCTGCTGTTCTTTTAAAAATAGCCTTCTTCGTTAAGTGGAAAATACCAGGTTTTATTTGTCTTTGGTTATTAGAGGACTTGAACTTTCTGTGTGTGTGTTCATAAGGATCTATTTTTGAGAGTTGTTTATACATCTCTTGTCATTGCCAGTTTTAAATAGTAGTTTCCTTTTTCTCTTAGCGACTGATGGAGGCACGAAGGATGATGGATAAGCTTCGTGCTTGCATTGTGGCAAACTACTATGCTTCTGCAGGCCTTCTAAAAGTTTCTGAGGTAAGCATTTCTCTTTTTGGTCATTTTCCAGTCACCCGTATTTGTCATCTAAAGGAAAAGTTAGTGTCAATATGGGATCCTTGCCTTTGAAACGTTTCTTGTATTGATCTAGCCTACTTTCTTGGCAACCTGCATAGCCACTTCCTTGAGTTCAACCACAGTTCTTTTATTACCCCCTCTACATTGCCAATGATCTTCAGCAGCATTTTTCTTTTTGCTTGCTTCTGGTAATAATTTTTAAGCGTTGTGCTAAGCTTGCGTATACTATGATGAGTGAGACCCTGTTGTAACTTGCCCTAGTTCCTGTTCATTTGACGATGGTTGCCTTTTGCGGATCTTCCTCTGGCTTTTTACTGCTGATGAACGGCCATTTCTAGTTTCAGTAGAATCACTCTATTCATTAAGTCCCAGTTTCCCCCTGACTGACAGAAGAGCTGAAACTTGGAGTTCCTTGGTGGCACAGACATTAAGGACTTGACTGCTAACCAAAAGACTGTTGGTTTGACCCCTACCCGGGTTCGGTTCTGCTGTACACACACGGGGTTGCCACGAGCCAGCTTCTACTCGACACATGTCTCCTAATGATTGAAATTTACTTTCAGTTGGTTTAGAGAAAAGATTTAAAAAAAAAAAAAAAAGCAAAAATGGCAAATGTTAAAAAAATCGAGTCTTAAGTGGTGCATTCGCACAAGTGAAATTTTGCTTAAGATCATCCAACAATGGTTGCAGCAACACATGGACAGGGACCTGCCAGAAGTTCAGGCTGGATATAGAAGAGGACTTGGAACAAGGCATATCATGGCTCATGTCACATGGATCTTGGCTGAAAGCAGGGGACACCAGAAAGATGTTTCCTTGTGTTTCATTAACTGTGCCAATTGGCTGTGTGGGCCATAATGAACCAGATCACCTTGAGAAGAAAGGGAATTCTGCAACACTTCCTTGTGCTTATTCAGAACTTGCACGTGGGTCACGAGGCAGTCATGTGAAGAGAACCAGGGATACTGCATGCTTTAAAATCAGGAAAGGTGTGTGTCAGGGTTGTATCCTCTTATCATACTTGTTCAATCCTTATGCTGACCAAATCATCAGAGAAGTTGGCTCATCCGAAAAACACTGTGGCACCAGGATTGGGGGAAGCCTCGTTTACAATTTGCAGTGTGACAATGACACAGAATTGCTTGCTGAAAGTGAGGTCTTGGAAGCACCTGATGGAAACCAATGATTGTAGCCTTCAGTATGGATTACACCTCAATGTAAAGAAGAACAAAGTCCTCACAATGACCCATAGGTGACATCAGGGCAAATGGAGAAAAGGTGGAAGTTGCCAGGGATTTTTGTTTTACTTGGACCTACAATCAGTGCTCATGTGAATAGCATTCAAGAGATCAAAAGACGTACTGCATTACCCAAATCTGCTACACAAGACCTCTCTAGAGTCTTGAAGAGAAAGGATGTTGCTTTGAGGTCTAAGGTGAACTTGTCCCAAGCCAGGATGTTCTCTCGTGCATCATGAGCATGTGAAAGTTGGACGTTGAATGGGGAAGATGAAGAAGACTAGATGCATTAGAATTGTGGTACTGGAGAAAAATACTGGAAGTACCATGGACTGCTAAAAGGACAAACCTATCTGTAAGGCCAGAGCGCTCCTTAGAGACAAGACTTTGTCTTACATACTTTGTACATATTGTCAGGCAGAGACCAGTCATGTTTGGTAAAGTGGAAAGGCGGTGAAAGAGGAAGGCTTTAGGTGAGGGAGATTGACACAGTGGCTACATCCATGAGCTCAGACCTGGGAACAGTTGCAAAGATGGCGCAGGACCATGCAGTGTTTCCTTCTGTTGTGCACAGGGTCTCTCTCAGAACCGACTTGGTGGCACGTAACAGCAACAAGTGGTGAATTAAAAAAAAACATTGTCTTCAGGTCACTTCTGACATAACAAGCCCATAACAAATCATAGTCCTGGAAAAAAAGTGGCTTCCTAATACTATCTAGTAAACCAGCCTTTCTTAAAATCCTCCTTGTTATCCTCAGAATATCTTTTTAAGCTCGTGCTTTTGAATCAAAAGCCAATTGAGGTTTGCGAATTGAATTTGTTTTTCTAGTTCTCTAGTCTCTCACTTGATGACCTTGAGTTTTTGTGTTTTTTGGGGGTTTTGGGTTTTTTTGTTTTTTTAGTCCCTTTAATATAAAACAGCCCTCTTATTCCCCCCATGATATATTTGGCTAGAATACTTCATTGGCAATACTGTGAGGAAATAGGGAGGGAGCCACAACTGACCTCTGGCTTAACTGGGAGGAAGGAGAATCCAACTCCATATCTGGCCAAGGATGATTTCTATGAAGCAGCAGTCAGACAAGATTCTGCCCTCCTCTTTCTCCTATTCTGACCCCAGCCATCCCTCCTACTATACTCCTCCTGGGTTCAATAGCCACACAGAACTTACAGACAGTACTCATGATTGTGAGATCTATAAAGGAAGCTAACAGGTTGCAAAATCTTAAGGATATAGTTCTTTTGTCTGTAGAGTTTCTCTCCACCCTCCTGGCAAGCAAGTCTCTCTCTAGCCCCTGGCCTCTCAGCCATGTGATTCACGGGCCTCTGCTTGGGCAAATGTTACAAAACCCCTTTGCAGTGATAATGCCCAAAGGTGCTCAGCTTTAGTCATTTAGTGAGCTGGAAAGCCTGCCACTCTTCCTCGTGGCCTCAGCGTTGCTTTTCTGGACAGCTTCATGGTCTTGGTGCAGCTTCTCTGCTCTGTCTCTTGGTCTCGGTGCCGTAGCCTCTGGTGCCTGCACTGCCTCCGCCACTTCAGCTGAGATCTCACATGCGCTCGCTCCACGGTGACTTCTGTCTCGATCCCAGTTCCCCCAACTAATGTTTCACACACCCTATTTGCATGCTTGGTTTTGGTCTTCTACTAGTTTTGCTATTCCACTAGCTGTAGAAGTGAGCCATCTCCGCGGGAACGCTTATCCTCGTAACCTGTGGATATTTAGGAATAGGGAATAATCAACTGAAACACAATTACTTTTCTTGTTTGACATGTTAATAAAGTCTGTGATTTTTTTTCCTGTTAAGATATTTTTGCTTCTTTTTTCTTCGTCAATTTGAAGTAGTCTTTTATAATTGTCCTCTTGCACTGTACCTGCTCAGTGGGAATGACGGAAGATCTGATGTGCACCAGTGTACTGAATCTATCATTTGCAGTGGTGTTTACTGATAAGAAGGATTACTCATGTGTAGGCTTTCATGCCAGCTTGTGGCATGTTCTTGGTATTGGCGGCTGTCCCAGATGCTATGTTAGAGAAAGTGGAGCGTTAGTTACTTGAGCTCTTAGATGATAGATAGGCATTTTTTTCCAGCAGCAGCTTTCATAATTCTAATTTCATCTGTTAATTGACTTGCAATTAGATTCCGCATGTGGACTGTAGCTACTCTATTTGAAGAGCTGGTTGTTCACTTGATTATTTAAAAAGCTTGCTTACTATTAGTTGTTCTGATCTAGGTGGTGTGATAGTCTGGAAAGACATTGCTTTTTATCCTGTGTTATCTTCTGATAGGATTTATTCAGGGACATTTAGGTCTGCTGGGGGTGTCGTGGGCCAAATATTGGGCTGCTAACTACAAGGTCAGGCCTTCAGATTTACTGGCTCCTCTGCAGGAAAACGAAGAGGCTTTCGAGATGGATAGCCTTAGAAACCCACAGTAGCACTTGTACTGTGGCTTACAGGGTTGCTTTGAGTCAGAACCAACTTTTTGTCAATGGATTTTTTGGTATGTTATGAACAACCATTTGATTATTTTTAGTTTGCAATAACGCTGTGTTTATAGCTCTGAAAAACTGTTGTCATTGGAATGCAAAAGCTTTGTTGCTTGGATTCTGAATTGCTAGTCTTTGCTCCTTCCCCACTAAAACATGTAATAGCATACTTTTTCGAAGGTAGGCATCCTAGGAACATAGCTATGCTTATAATAGAAGGTGAGGTCACTGATTCAGAGCAGACTCCACAGCAACTGTGTATTATACCCAAGTCATAAGACTTAGTAGTAATCATTTTAAAACATGCTGTATTATTTTTCACTCCCACGTATGGCTTGTGTGTGTGTATGTGTGTGTTTTGTACAGCAATAAAGAGGCTTACCTTCAAAATTCAAATTTTCTTTTTCATGTTATAATGTTTACTTTTATTTCTTATAAGGACCTACATCTCTAATTTTGAAGTGTTAGAACCTTTATGCAGTATGTATCACTCTAATTTTTATTTTGTTAGATCAGACCATGCTGAGTTTGAACTTTGTTTTATGCCTATGAAGAGATTTTGCAGATCTTTAAGCATAGTAGTAAAATAAAGAGTTTTGGGGAGAAAGTAACTTCGCCCATTTGGTGAATTTGATTTAAAATGTGTTAACTTTATTTCTGCAGGGATCAAAGACGTGCGACACCATGGTTTTTAATCATCCTGCTATCAAGAAGTTTTTTGAGTCACCGTCTAGATCGTCATCTCCTGCCAACCAGAGATCAGAAACACCATCAGCCAATCATTCAGAGAGTGACTCTTTATCTCAGCACAATGACTTCTTGTCTGACAAAGACAACAGTAGCAATATGGATATTGAGGAAAGGTTGCCAAACACCATGGAGCAGAGACAAAGCCGAAATCCTGGCAGGGTATAGTTGGATGGAGGGGAGGGAACTAAAGGAGAAGGAAACCTGTGTTTATAAGTATGCACATATGATGTCATTTAGCCTTCATTGGCGCTCTGGTTAATAAGTCAATGATTTCCCTTTTGGAGATGAGGTTAAAGGTGAATTTGCCCAGCAGTTAACCAGCACTGAGATTACACCTGAATTCTGATCACTTTAGAACCCAGGCCTGTGGACGAAGCACACCAGCCTGTGCAATCACGAGGGGTCTAAGGGATCAGGTATCAGGCATCATCAGAACAAAAAATCATATCATTGTGAATGGGGGGTGGGGGGTGCGGAGTAGAGACCCAAAGCCCATTTGTAGGCCACTGGACATCCCCTTACAGAAGGGTTTCGGGGAGGAGATGAGCCAGTTAAGGTGCGATGTAGCAACGATGAAACATACAACTTTCCTCTAGTTCCTCAATGCTTCTACCCCTTCCCCACCCCACTATCATGATCCCAATTCTACCTTGTAAGTCTGGCTAGACCAGAGGATGTACACTGGTACAGATAGGAACTGGAAACACAGGGAATCCAGGGCGGATGATCCCTTCAGGGCCAGTGGTGTGAGTGGTGAAACAGGGAGTCTAGAGCGAGGGTGGGTTGGAAAGGGGGAACCGATTACAAAGTTCTACATATAACCTCCTCCCTGGGGGACGGACAACAGAAAAGTGGGTGAAGGGAGATGTCGGACAGGGCAAGCTATGACAAAATAATAATTTATAAATTATCAAAGGTTCATGAGGGAGGGGGGAGTGGAGAGGGAGGGGGAAAAGTGAGCTGATGCCAGGGGCTTAGGTGGAGAGCAAATGTTTTGAGAATGATGAGGGCAATGAATGTACAAATGTGCTTTACACAATTGATGTGTGTATGGATTGTGATAAGAGTTGTATGAGCCTCTAATAAAACGATTTAAACAAAGAGAAGAACCCAGGCCCGCTGTGCACTGCAGGACGCTCCGCGCTGTCTGTGTAGCAGCGGAAGGAGCCTCTCCGTGTTGGCAGCACTGTGATGTTGCTCAGAACCTACGTTGTTGCCACTGTGCCTGTTTATTCCCTCAGGAGCAGTAGCTCTGTAGCAGTTTCCTCAGTGAAGCTTGATGGTGCAAAATGCTGCCCTAGCTGGAGGAAAATTAACACACAGTAAAGAGAGGGAAGGCCATTTGTCGCTCAGGTTTCTGCCAGTTTCTTGTTTGAATTCCCATGCCGAGCTACTCTAAACTTCTTGCTGTGAAATATGGCTGTAAAGTCCTTATTAGATTAATCCGTTGTTTTCCTTTTTTCCCCCCGTCTTTCAGCCAGGTATTCTGTGAGAGAAGCAAATTCTAGGTTACTTTAGAAATCATGGCTATATGTTTCTTTCTTTCCAAAAGATTGGGTTTTATGATGCAAAGTTCCTATGTGTCCACTTGCCAGTTGGGAATTAGAAGACGTGGAAGAGTAGGGAAATCTCTCTTCATCAGTCAGAACGCTTAGTGTTTGATTTAATCGTGGCTTTCCAGTACGATTTTTGGGGAAATATTTGCTTTTTATTTTATTATTAATTGTTTTTGCTTTGCTTTTTAATCTAAAAACTTTTAAGTCGTACTGGGTATAAATAAGACTTTGAAATTTAGCATCCTTACTCAGCACGTACTAAGTTTCTATAAAAAACATTTAGCACTTACTGTTTGGCTAAGCACTGTACAATCATGTCCTCATATAAAGTAAATGATGTTCCCATCCTTATTTTATAGATAGGAAATTGAGACATAGATGTTAAGTAACTACTCAAAAATTACACATCTAGTAGATGAAAGTCAGGACTGACCTCAGGCAGTGGACAGACTTCACCACCATGTTTACATAACTTCACATAGAAAAAGATTCAGTGGTATAGAAAATTGGGGAAAAGTAAATTCTGTTGGCTCCTTTGCCCCATTCCCATTTCCCAATGATAACCGTTTTAATAATTTCCACATCCTATTTACATACACAAAACAGATGTAGGCAACTACTAAATGAGTATTTACTCATATGGAATTAGAGTATATAAACTTTAATGAATTACTATATTTGTACAAATTTTTTATGTTTTGAGGGAATCTGAATTAATCCATTCATACTTTTTATTATTTTTTAATTTCTGGCCTATTGAAAATTGCCCAATTTAAATTGAAAATGAAACTTGATTATGTTTTCTTTCAGGATACTATCCGTACTACTGGCTCCCACAAAACAGATCACCGGAATGCGGATCTTACAGGGGATGAGACGTCCCGACTTTTTGTAAAGAAAACAATAGTAGTGGGCAATGTGTCTAAGTGAGTATGGGGCTGAAGTGTCTCCTTGACACTCACCTGTTTATGTTAAGATCAGCAGAGTATTCCAGCACTGGAAGAGACCTTAAGAATTCTTTTTTCCCCGAGCTCTTAATTATTTGACAAGCCAACCAAGGTCCAGAAGCTTTCCTAAGGTAGTCTTGATTAATAGTAAGCAAAGTTAATATTTGAATCGAGGGCTCTTGATTTTTCATTTGGGGCATTACTGCCTCTGTACAATGCCATCTCATCTCCATGCTCCACCAAAGACTGTGTGCGTCTGAAAGATCACTCAACAAGAAGCTGCAAAGTCACCTTATGCTTTGCTTCCGGAGCAGACCTCAACCCGCCCTCCTTTTATGCTTCTGTCTGTCTGTAGTTTGCAAAAGATGCTGATTATCAGGTCTGTGGAAGCCAATAAGAATGGCAAGTCTTGGGCACTACCCTCAGATGTAACTTGAAAGTCTTCATTTTTTTACTGAGTGGACATTCTTGCACCTGTCATTCAGTTGTAGTCGTAAACTAGAAATTCTGTTAACTTATCAAGACGATCTTTAAAAAGCAACTATCATACTCATTGGTAAATATTGAATATTCCTTTAGGAACAGGAGCAAGATAAAGAGATACCTAGTAGACATAAACTGGAAATTCTGTTAACTTATCATAAAGGCTCTCTTTAAAAAATAGTTATCATACTCAGTGGTAAATATTGAATATTCCTTTAGGATCAGGAGCTAGATGAAGAGATACTTAATATTATTAGTCATTTTTAGTATTGCGCTTGAGATTTTGCCATTAAGTTGATGCTGACTCAGAGCAATCATATAGGGCAGGGTATAACTGTCCCTCTGGGTTTCTGCGACTTACACTTGATGGGAGTAGAATGCCCCACCTTTCTCCCATGGAGCCACCTACTAGTTTCAAACTGCTGACCTTGCAGATCACAGCTCAGTGCATAACCACTGTGCCACCAGAGCTGGAGATACTAACGTTGTCGTATAAGACATAGAAAAAGGTTGATTGTTAGTAAAGAAAAAACAAAGTATCATTGACCAATTATATGATTGTCTTACATAGAAGCTCAAAGAATCTCTGATAGCATATTAGACTAGTCAAGAAGGTTAGTGAGATCATTAAATACAGGGAACTTAAAAAAGCTCATGGAAAATTTTCCCTAGAAAAATGTAAAAATTTATATATTCTTAAGATCATTTTAAGAAAATATATTTACTGTAAAAGTAAAGATAACATTACTTAATAAAACACATGCAAGCTTTTCATTTAGAGCTTATATAAACTTAATTGAATGCCACCAAAGAACTAAGTAATTGGAAAAGTATACCATGTACCTGGATAGCAAGGCTCAGTAGTATAAGGATGCTATTTCTCCCCAGACTGATAGGTACATAATTCAGTTAAAACACCAACAGTTTAAGAAACTTGACAAGATAATTCTTCCATACATATGCATGGAATGTACTAAGGTTGACAACACTCCTGGTGGAGAACTAGGTTAGGGCGATTCGCCTACTACATTTATGAAGATCCCCAGCGCAGAGAAGGCTGTGACCGTATTTCCCACCAGAGTATAAGAAGGTAAAGTCTCCTAAGAGCCTCTTAGGAAATAAAGGCAAGCCCATGAAAAGAGACGGCCAACTAACCACCACACCAAAAAATGTTGCCTTAGAACCAGTTCTGACGCAGCTGCTCCATTCATTTATGGACAGAAACATAATTGTCCTACTCAGGAGAAAGATGGATGGGACTTCCTATTGCTGTTAGGAGTTAGAGTCTTGGGGACCCACAGGAGCAGTTCTGTCCTGTCCTGCAGGCTCACTGTCAGTCGGCATCAACTCGATGGTAGCGAGTGACAGGGTTTCCAAGGGAACCTACACTGTGCTGTAGCTGACAGCCTCGTCTTTCTCCCATGGGACGGCTGGTGACTTCAAGATGCTAGTTTTATCATTGTCAGAAGCTAAGGGACTGGCTTGTGAGGGCCTTTTTCTGAGCCACCTTCTTAGCAGTAAGGATTATGCTCCAAAAGAACCCAAGTTCTAGCACCTGAATGAAAACAGCCTCAAAGCTAGAGGTTCCCTCCCCAGGAGTAAAATACACCAGTTTATGGTTTTATTTTTAATTTCCACTTAGTAAATTTTGGTTTTTCTCTTTTAAGTAGCCTGATCATTAAAAAACACATCAAACAAAGAAAATGCCTCTTAACCTCCCAGCCTCTCTCCCCTCCCCCCACCATTTAAAAATTTTTACTTCATCAGAAAGAAAAAAAATATTAAAAGAATTAACTGCAAAAAGTCGGGAGTTTTTTGTTTTGATTTTGGTTAGACGCTATGGCTGTTCAAAATTGTAGACCTTTAATTTTGTTTGTAGTAGAAATTGTGCTGTTATTATTAGGTAATTGAAGGAAAGAAATAGTTATTTGTTTTTCTCCTACAGGTATATACCTCCAGATAAAAGGGAAGAAAATGACCAGTCAACCCACAAGTGGATGGTGTATGTCCGAGGGTCTCGTAGAGAACCCAGCATTAATCATTTTGTCAAAAAAGTGTGGTTCTTCCTTCATCCCAGCTATAAACCAAATGACCTTGTGGAAGTTAGGTGAGCACATTTGAGTTATCTACCCTAAGAAGTACAGATTTATTGAAGGGGAGGAAAAGTAGATTTAATTGGAAACTCTTAGATCGGTAATGACTCAGCTTTGGCTCTTGGCCACAATTGTCAGTGCAGCCTGTAGTTCCCTACCGTAGGTGACTTTCCCACTGAACAGGCAAATACCCATGTTATGAGTTGGACTGCGATCTGCATGGTCAGCAGTTTGAAACCACCAGCATCTCCGAGGGAGAAAACCCAGGCTTCCAGGCTTCCTAGAAAACCCAGGTAAATAGTTGCAGCACTGGAAACCCACAGGGAGTCGCTGTGAGTCAGCATTGAGTCAATGGCAGTGAGTTTGGTGTGAACAGTTAACGAAATTCTTACTGTTGTATTTCTCTGTGATCTATCCCATCCTCCCAGAAAACCTCTACTGGTATTTCCCCCCCTGTGGTTATTTCGCAAAGATGGCATGATAACATGCTGTTTTAAAGTTTATTTGCTTCGTTCAACACCGTATGAGAGTTAAGTCAAAAGCATTGCTTACAGGGGTTCCTATGCATACGTGCACGGGTTTCTTTTGAACTCCATGTGTTTAAGCCTGTGCCTGTAATCACTGGATGGCTGTGGATCAGGAAGCTCAGTAATTACTCGCTGCAGTCTTCATTAACGTGCTTTCGGGAAGTAGGTCCAGTTACAGTGGTGCTTCACAGGAGCACGCGGAGCCAGTTAAATTCAAGGCAGCGGAGTCAGCTTAGAAGGTTATGTGACTATGTTTTGGGATTCTAAAGAGGCAATGTTGATAGATTTCCTGGAAGGGCACAGCATGATCATGACAGCTTATTAGAAAGAAGATTTAAGAAAAGTGAGAGCTGTATTGCTGAGAAAAAGACCAAGAAAGTGTTGGGGGTTTTTTCCCCATCATAACCAAAAACCACCAAACCCACTGTCATGGACTCCACTCCACTCACAGGAACTCGTCAAATTGACAGCGCTAAAGGGTTCCGAACATTCGGTGACCAAAAATTAATGCAAAACCAAATACACAATGTTGCCAATTTTTTTGACCCCCAGATTCAGTTACATAACCCTATGTGGAGCCATGACCCGTAGCTTAACTCCTGAGCTCTGTAGATCCAGGAGGAAGGTTCGAGAGTGAGGTCGCTGGGTCGGGCTGGAGGAGGGAGTAAGCTCTGGGAGGCTTTTTGGTACTTCAAGCAAAGGTTCTTCTGCTCGTAGGATCTAGTATGTAGAGAGTAAAACGTTTTTTAAAGATGGGGAGAATATCTGGAGTAGGCGATGAGGTATGCGTTAAAATTTTATTTTGATGTAACATTTTGACTCATTTGCTTTATCTTCTGTGCATGTGTGCTCACACCTATGCTTGATACACAGATAGATACTTTTTTTGTAATGAGTTCTTCAGAGCAATTTGCAGATACCATTTCTTCTTTTCCTAAGGACAATGATTTTATCGTAATCATCCAAGGAACATTTATCCGAATCAGGGAATGTAACATGGATAGGATACATACAATTAGCTATTATGGTCTTCTCTAAGCAGGAATAATTCCTTAGCCTTTCAGCACAAGGGAGGAGATGTTGGGGTTTGAGGAGAGAAGGGTGTAAAGTGATTGTCTTGGAGAGTGAGTGAAGTTAGGACAAGAGTAGGGCTTCCTGATTACAGTAAGGATGCACTTGAGGTTGGTTACCAGTTAAAGAGAGACAAGTCAGTGAGGTCCTGTTTTCCCCAGCCGTGATGGGAAGATGACTGAGCTTTCCCACAGTCCCCCTTGTAGAATCAGCTTCATAAATGCAAGCGAGAAATAGTTGGAAAAATTCCTTTTTCTTACCCTGGTCTGTCTGTTTGCCAAATAACTATATTAAAGTGAGCAGCTTAGAGGTGGACACAAAGGAGTGATTGTATTGATAAATCATTTGGTTGCAGATACGGGCGGAGAATGAAAGATTATTGACATTGGAGTACTTAAGGAAATAATGTGTAAAGATAAAAGGAGCTGAGCTGTTGGTAAGATTGGAGGGGACATGAAAGTCAGATCATTGAAGGATTGGAGTTACTAGCTATAGCAGGGTCTACGATCTGACCCTGGGGAGGAATGACTGACTAATGTAAAGCAAAGGGTCACGGATGAGCAGAATGCCAGGAATTGACAAGCGAGGTTGTTGAGGAGGATCTACATGTGTATGAAATTGCCACGATAGTAGAGTTGAAGGGGGTGACGTTGAGCTTTACTCATAAACCATCCAGAAAAGAATGGGAATAAGCTAGGGGTCGGTAGATGGCAGTATTTAGGACAGGGGTGGCACCAGTGATGTTTGCTAATATGTAGTACATGTTTTCCATCTGTCTCATTGACAGGGGAAGAGTTTAGAGGCATTTCAGCCTAGGGTAATTGTTTTGAAATCGTGGGATACGAAAGTGAGTACATGGTGACCTAGGAGTGGTTCCTTTTTTTTTTTTTTTTTTTTCAAGTGGTTAACTACAAACATGATTTGAGTCAGATGATATTACTGGGAAAAAAATCAAAAAGTGAAAAAATTAGCATGCTACTGAAATCTGAGGCTGTTTTATTAGAAGTGAAGTAGGTTTGAGAATACCTAGGCATACTGTTGAGTATGTGCCATTTGATTTCTTGACTGCTGTGCAAGTGTTGATGAGCAAGGCTGTCACTTTGAGGAATAAGAGGCACCTGACTCAAGCCATGGTGTTTTCAGTTTCTGCGTATGCATATGAAAGGTGGACACTAAAGAAGAATGTTTGCATTTGAATGTATGGTACAAGCAAAGAAATATTGAAAGTACCAGCAACTGTCGAATGAACAAATAAATAAATCTTTCTTAGAAAAATTGCAGCCACAATGCTCCTTGGAAGTGATGATGGTGAAGTTTGTCTCATGTACAATGGACATGTTATTTGAAGAGCTCTGTCCTTGGAAAATGGAGCCCTTGCAGTGTAGTGGTTACGTGTTGGGCTATGTATGATCCTCATGGTCAGCAGTTCAAAACCACCAGCAGCTCTATGGGAGAAAGACTAGGCTTTCTACTCATAAGCTTAACAGTCTCGGAGGGGTCTCTGAGTTGGCACTGACTCAATGACAGTGAGTCCCTGGATAAAGACCCCAGTGGCATAGTGGTTATGCATTGGGTTGAAATCTGCAAGGTTGGCAATGTGAAACCGCCAGCAACTTCTGGGGAGAAAGACAAGACTTTCTACTCCCGTAAGCAGTCTCGGAAACCCACGGGCAATTCTACTCTGCCCTATAGGGTCACTTTGAGTCAGTGTTGACTCAGTCGCAGTGAGTTTGTTTGTTTGTTTTTCAGTTGTTTATTTAGTCCGTGAAAAAGCATCCTGCTTGGTAGAGAGGCAGGTAAGAGGAAAACCCTGGACAAGATGGGTTGATGCAGTGGCTGCAGCAGGGGGCTGAAACATGACAGTTGAGAAGATGGCCCAGGACCAGGCAGTGTTTGAGTCTGTTGTACAGAGGGTCACTATGAGTTGGAGGACTCCACAGCACCTAAGGACACTATTGTGTATCGAGGCATGAGTGGCCTGGGCAGAGACGTGGAATAACGTAGTGACTACAGTAGTGACTACAACAGGGGCTCTGGAGCGGCGACTCCTGTGAAGAGGTACAGTCTCGGAAACCCACAGGGCAGTTCTGCCCCGCCTTAGAAGGTCGCTGTGGCTCAGAATGAACTAGATGGTAGTGAGTTCGGTTTTCGATTTCTGGAGCTTATTGTCTGGTTTCCAATCTTAGTTCCACCCATTTGCTGTGTGATCTTGAACAAGTTAAGTTGCCGGTGTATAACGTCATTATGTCTCAGGGAAAGTTCCGAGTAGGGTTGTAAAGAGAGATCTGTTTATAAGTGTAGTTAATAGGTATAAAGGGCTTCACACGGCAGTTGGGTGATCGCACACACAGTGTTCAGTGCGGCAGCTGCCGCTATTGTAATTTGGGCCAGAGGAAAAGGGAAAAAGGAAGGACTGCTCTCCGAGGAACGCCGCCTCGGAAGCGGGAGCTGCCACTCCCCCTTGTCTCACCATTGCTGTCAATAAGGACTTGGAGCCATTTTTAAAAAAAGGAAAGGACTTAGGGGATTGTTTTTTAATTCTTTTCTAGGCCTGTCGTGTGAAGGGGGAATTGTCTCTTAGTGATTCCAAATCTGGAACTAACCTAGAAGAAGTAGAGGAACTGTGTTTAGAATAGCTATTCAGAAATGTACAGGAGACTCATTAAGTAGTGAGGAGTTCTGGGTCACTGGGAATGACTGATGGGCCATGTAAATGGGGAAGCAGGGAGGTGAATTTTTCCCCTCGGCCATACACACCCACGCCTTTTTAAAATGTAAATTCGGGAGCAGTTGCACTTCAGACCATCAGCGGTTCAAACCACGCATCAGCACACACACTCCACCCCCATATTCTGTCCCACCCACACTCCCCTGAACGCTCTCTTGTTTGGACCTCCAGCCTTTCTTTCGCCTCTTTTTCCCCTTTAAACCAATACATAGTATTCCATTCTGTGTATGTACTAAAGTTTCTTGATCCACTTTTCTACTGCTGGGCTTTTGTGCTTTTCTAACCTCTTCCCCTCGTGAACAGCGCTGCGATGAACAGACGAGTAGACGCGTCTGTGTGTGTCTCGAGGCTGGATACTCCGGATGGGATTTTGACTCCCGCTTGTTTGAGGCAGTGCCGCAATGCTTTCCACAGCGGTTGTCCGCCCAGGCGCTGTAGTTCTGCGGTTCTCTTTCTCGGTCATTGACCTAGTAAACCTTCTTCAAGGAGTCTGGAAATAAAGAGCCCTGCCCAGGGGAGGCACTCTTTGTTGGGTCGTGAAATAGAATACAAGTTGGCGTCAAAAAGTTTATGAGACAGTTTCATTATCTTCATATTTTCCCACAAACTTTATGAAGCTCCCTTCATACCTCTTGAAGCATAAGATTTCTGTCACATATATCCTGTCTGTTGGTAGGTCTTGGGTTTTTTTCCTCTTTATCACACACGAATTATGAGGGGATTTCCTGTTAAAAGTATTTGTTCCTTTTTATCCCCCCAGCCTTTATGCCACTTTTCTGTGCTTCTTGGCCACTACCCTTCCTGTCTTTTCACTACAGTTTGGCCCATGTAAATACATCGAGGAACATACCTAATTTTTTACTCTGTCCATTGTGAGAGAACATTAGCGCATGAGCAGTTTAATTGAAGTATATGCACGATGAATTTAGACTGTCCATCGAGAGTCCGAGGGACCAAGCTTACCATCAGTCTTGCGTGATTTTACTACCCGTTGTCGAGCTGGGCTTACTAAAACCCCTTCACCCTGTGTTCTCAAGTCTGCCGACCTATTTGACCCAAAGCCTTTTTCTTTCCTTTTTAAAAGATACATGCTTGAAATGCTGTGACTGTGTGCTGGTGTAGTTTCTAGGGTCTTGTGACAAATGGGGCGTCGGATTAGGGAGCAGGCTTTCTCTTTCCTCGGAGGACAATGGTTTGTGCTAGTGAGTTTGTTTTCACTGCACTGGAGTAAAAGGTGCATAACCTAGTTGGCCATTTCATTCATTTTTTAAGTAATTTGACTTCCTTTTGCTATGTTGGGCTTCCTCCACTGCTGTCCGTATCCAGAAGTATGACTTCACTCTAGTCAGAAACTCGGCGGTTACCGCGCTCTCCGCCCTCCAGCCCTTGGTAACCACTGAGTCGCGTTCTCTCTCTGCCTTTGCCTAATCCAGGTATTTCATAGACATGGGATCACGCAGTTTGTTCTTCCGTGGTTGATTTATCTCTCTTGGTACAGTGTATCAAGATTCATCTGTGCCATGGTATGAATCAGAACTCTATTTCTCTATATAGCTAAATAATACTCACTTGTGTGGATGTACCACGTTTTGCTTACCCTTCTGTCTGCTGATGGACACAGAGATTGTTTCTACTTTGGGGTATTCTGAGTAGTGCTGCTGTCAACATCAGTGCACTGGTAGGTGTTTGAGACCCTACGTTGAGGGTATGTATGTACCTAGCAGTAGAATTGCTGGGTCATGCACCAGTTCTCTGTTTATCGTTTTCAGGAACTTCCAAACTTTAACATAGTAGCTGCAGTGTTGTTCATTTATTCTGGCAATGGATGACGGTTCATCCTCACCAATAACTTGTTAGTTTTCATTTTACTGTTAATAGCCAGCCTAGTGGCTGTGACGTGACGTCTTATTGGTCAAACGTATCATTTAATTACTGCATGAATCTAGACGATCCTCCTGGCTGCTCCTTTTACCAACTCAGCTGAGTTAGGCTGAAGGGCAGCCTCCCTCTCTCTAGGACCCACTGATAGCTCTGTGGTTGCTTGTGTCCTTTCCAGACTGCTCTCCCGGGGATCTTTCCCGGCCCTGTGCTTGCTAATGCAGGTGTCCTGTTCGCCCTGCTTTCACTGAGTCCACGTCTCTCCTTCGTCTCCGAAAGGCCATCCAGCGGAAGGAACGTTCTCTCCCTGCGATCTTGGCGTCCTCTCTTCTGACAATCATTCCAAGCCAGTGATTCATAGTAAACACTTCCACTTTAAAGGCATTCTTGTTCTTCCCCAGTAACTTAACACCATATTGTTTGAGTACTCAGCGATCTCACCCTTATTTTTAAATGGTTCTGTAGAAATTTTCAGAAATCCCCAGACGTGGCGTATGAGCCCTCGTGTTCCAACCACCTAGCTTTCACAGTTCCTGAGAGCCTGAGCTCAGAAACTCTCCTTCTCTCAGCTCTGACGCACAGTCACATTCCTCCACCCACAAGCTCACAGTCCCTCCCCAAGAGGATCGTGTTGTGGACAGAACAGCCCTCCTGTCACTCCTCGTTGCTGACAGTTTCCAATAAATTGTCACTTTCAAGCCAGTCATCTCTGCTTTCGTGTTGCATTTTGCCCCTGGCGTGGAGAAGCAGTTAAGAGAGTTGGGTGTAACGCCTATGTCTGTCAGGTTTCTGTCATGAATGCTGGCTCTCTCCAGTCATGTGATGTCCATCCAGTCACTCGGCATTTCTAAGCCCTTATAGGATCACTTCTCTGTGAAAATAATGACATTACATTATATGGTCTGAGTTGAACTGCAAGGATTTAGTAATTGAATGTTTGTTATAAGGTTGGGGTTATTTTTCCATGTATAATTTTTTTTTCCCTCCCAACCTCTGCCCCCCATGGCCTGACCTCCCCCTATAATTTCTTTTATAATAAACATTTTTTTTGTTATTGCAATATTTAACATGTGGGTTTAGCTTCAAGTAAAGAGAGGTTACATGAGTCCTAGGGGGAAGTGATTTTCTCATTGATGCGTCATGAAAACACTTTATCCGAGATGCAAGAGGGACATGGATAAACGTGTTCATATCTACTTTTCCCTAGAGAACCTCCTTTTCACCTGACCAGAAGAGGCTGGGGTGAGTTTCCTGTCAGAGTTCAAGTTCATTTTAAGGACAGCCAGAACAAGAGGATAGATATCATACATAATCTGAAGGTATTGTAACAAAACATTTCTCCCTAGACATGAAGTGTCCCTTTTCACTTCGTAGCTCGAGCAGTGGTATCAGGTCTTCTGAAGAAAGTGGGCCGTTACAAAAGAAGCCGAGGGCCCTGCCCAGTGCAGGGAGCTTCCTGCTGAGGGCAGTGTTGGTTTAGTGGCAGAAATTTCCCCCTGGCGTGAGTGAGCTTGTCGGGCATTGAGATCCAAGCTTGGGCACCGCTCCTCTGGTCATTGGAGGCTTGTGGTGCTGTGATGTGAAGCAGGTTTCAGCCGTTTCCAGACTAACATCCTGTGGGGAATGGCCTGTTCATCTAATTATGAAAGACAGCCGGTGAAAGCCCACAAGTCAGAGGCCGAGTTGGTGGCAACCAACAACGCACTCAAACAAACCCCAAGCTCTCTGCCATCGAGTTGATTCTGACTCAGAGACCCCATAGTTCAAAGTAGAAATGCCCCTTTGGGTTTCTAAGACTGTGCATCTGTGCAGGAGTCGTAAACCTCATCTTTCTCATGAGGAGTGGCCGGTGGGTTCAAACTGCTAACCTTGTGGTTAGCAGATCAATGCATAATCCACTACACCAATAGAGCTCCTTCTAATAACATCATGATTCTTGCCACACCATTCTTTTGTCCTTGTGATAGAACTGGGGCCATGCTTTACGGCACCGCGTAGATTTGCGAAGATGAACTGATTAGCTAATAGAAGACTTGACTCTGATTAGATCTCACCAGGCTTATTTGGGGCCAATTTACTATAACACTTTTTGAAATCTCTTTACACTCGCTTAAAATGAGACAGATAATAAGACATATATCTTTGTACCATAAGGCTTTATAAGGAAGACAAAAAGTATCCATATTATTTAAATTAGGAAGTACAAGGCTATAATGATTTTGATGTGCTTTGCAGTAAATCTTTGCTGATATATTCACCCGGCTTATTATGTAGCCATTAGAAATTAAATTTATGAAGTGTTTGCTTTCCCTGGGAAAACACTACCATTGTAGTTGGTGAAAAGCACAGATTGTAAAACTGGTATGAGGGCAGCTATTAATTTTAAAAGGTATAAAATCCAGAAAGGAAATCTACAAAATAATGAGATTATTTTTCAATCTCATTATTTTGAAATAAGGAGGCAATTTTCCCTCCTATTTTTTAAAAAAATATTTTCCAGCTTTATAGATAGTAAACATATTTAATTTCTATAATTGAAAGACAAGCCATTATTTTTCCCTGGCCCTCTCTATAGTAGTTTCATGTGCATTGTTCTGTACATGTAACCCTAATATTTTATTTTTCCCAAAGCATTCAATTTGTTGATTGTTTACCAGATTTCTCCCATAAATTTTATCCCAATATTGAACAAAAAAGTTGAGCGTATGTCTGTAGGATTTTTTTTTTCCTTTAGGTCTACAAATGTACCCTTTTCAACCATAAAGCGTGCTAAAATTTGCCCTCCTCTGGTGAGGGCTTAACTTGACGTGTAAGTTATGTCGTAGAGATTACTGTAAAACTCAATTGCCTTCACTCGCCATTATGTACCTGAGACCAAGTAGAGAGCATAGGGCCGCTTTGCTCAGGGCGGGCGCTGTCCTGCCTACAGGAGGAAGGTGTCCCCAGTTGGGCTGCTCTTCAAGCTTTCTACTTATCTCTGAAGTCACAGCGGACCCAGCCCTAACCCCTAACATGAAGAACTGTTCGCAGGCTTTTATATGTCCTGTTGTGCATATCAGCGTTCTTGGCAGATTGAGGTATGTCTTACCAGTTTTTCTGAAAAACTTAATTTTACTTATTATCTACTGACTTCGAGATCGTAAACACCTGTTAAGTGGTTGTGTGCGCTTCATCTGCACTGGAATGTCATCCTCTCTCATTTCTGTGGTAATGCTCAGGGCCACCTGTGAGTCTTTTTTTGTTCGAAACACTCATTGTGACCGGTGTTCTTTCTTTATAGCCTCTCACAGTCTGCCCTTCCCACGATTGGGAAGCTGCTATTCCGATCTGTTTCCTGGTTGTGATCCTTAATTCTAGCCCGTCTTCCCTTCATGCTGTTCCTTACACCACGATCACACCATCAAACCCACCATCACAGAGTCGTCGTCACTCCTAGCCACCCTGTGGGACAGAGGAGACTTCTCCTGTGTGTTTCCAGGACTGTAGCATGGGAATGGGAAGCCTCATTTAGATACAGAGCAACAACCTTCCAGCTGACCAGCCCCACATGTAGCCAGCTCTGCCAAGAAGGAGTCCATTCATTGTCCTGTTCCTCAGAAATCTTGACTGAACTCCTTTCAAGTTCAAAGTCCCCACCCAACGATTGGGAGCTCTTCACATGGTGACGGAGCATCCTCCTGAATTCGCTCACACAGATGCCCTGCGTGAGGGTCATTCTGCAGTCGGCCGCTCTGTCTGCCCCAGGAATGCCGGCTCTTCTGACCGCAGGGGTTCAGTGGTCTCTCAGTGCCTGTTTGAGTCATTTCCTTTCTTCACGTTCCTGTTCTCTCTGAGACTTTTCCTGGGCTTTCTGTGCGCTGCCAAATTCCGTAGCACATAACAGCCTGTGCTTAGCCACCCTCGTGGAACGCAGTCCTCACCAAGACAGCCACCAACCCATCGACTCAGTCAGTGAATGCATTCTTTTTGTCTTGAACCCATCTGCTAGTTTTGATTTCTTACAAAACTCTGGTTTGTAAGAACCCTACAAATGTTGGATGATACCCTTTGTACCTTCCCTGACATCTTTTCTTCTCCAGACAAAATCTGTTCCTTTAAATTTCTTATATGCCAAACTGCCCTGTTCCTTTTGCCATTTTGGTACTGCTATTATTTCCCTGCTCCTCTCTCCCTGCCCCTCTCTCCCAAATACATTCCATGACTGAGACATAGACCAGAGCCAGATTATAAAGACACTGGGTTCTGGAGGATTGGAAAATGGGTGTAACTTAAAATTGCTCTTATTTCCCTCCCACCCCCACTCTAAATATCTTGTTGTGTTTTCAGGAAGGGTTTTGACAGCCCTTTAGGTTCCCATTCAACAATGGCTGCAGTTTGTCCAGGACCTAGGCTACATTCTTCACGTTGGCTGCACATTCTCCTCATTTCCTTCTGGTGGCTCCTTTCTCTGGAGCCTAGTGTCCCTCCCTACCCACTCACATGCTCATGCTTGCTTCAAAGTACCTGTTGACTGGTCTTATAGGCAGGTTTTTCTTGTTCTTTTATTAACAGTCATTTTATTGGGGGCTCTTAACAGCTCTTTTTCCATACATCAATTGTATTAAGCATATTTGTACATATGATGCTATCATTTCCAAGACATTTTCTACTTAATCCTGTGGTATAAATTCCTCTTTTATCCCTTTCCTCCCCTGCCCTCTCGCCCTCATGAATCCTTGATCAATTATATATTATTTCTTATCTTACACTGTCCGTTGTCTCCCTTCACCCACATTTGTTTTTCGTTCCCTTGGTGTGTGGGGGGCTCTATGTCCAACTTTGTGATGGGTTTCCCCTTTCTCCCCATTCCCCCTCCGTGGCCATCCCCCTACCCTCATGATAACGCTTCTCCTGCTGTTCCTGAGGGGTTGATCTGTCCTGAATTCCATGTGTTGAGAGCTCTTATCTGTACTACTGTGTGGTCAAGCCAGATTTATAAGGTAGAACTGGGTCATGGTGGTCAGGGGAGGAAGCATTGAGGAACTGGAGGAATGATGTGTGACTTGTCAGTGCTATACTGCACCGTGGTTGAATCATTCCTTCCTTATAACCCTTCTGAGGGGGATATCTAATTGTCAACAGATGGGCTTTGGGTCTCCACCCCAATGTGCCTCGTTCACATTGATATAGTTGTTTGTTTTGGATTTCTTGATACCTGATCCTGTCAACACCTCATGATCACACAGACTGGTGTGCTTCTTCCATGTGAGCTTATTTGCTTCCCTGCTAGATGGCTGCTTGTTTAATTTCAAGCCTTTAAGACCCCAGATGCTATATCTTTTGATAGCCGGGCAGCACCCGCTTTGTCTCCAGCGATCATGTTGGGAAGATGAGTATTAAAGAGTACCAGGTTATCAGAAAAAAGTGTTCTTGTGTTATGGGAGGCCTTGAATAGAGGCCCAAAGTCTGTCTGCTAACATAGTACTTAACATATAAATATATGTACATTGACCTCTATCCCTTTCACTATAAATTAATATATTTACTTATATATATGCTTGTAGCTATACTGCTATAAATAGCTTTTGCTTCTATTTCTTTTTTTCCTTTCACCTTCCTTCTTTCCCACTATCATGTTCTCCATTCGGCAGTCAGTAATTCCTCCTGGATACATTACATAATGCCACTAGGCATTATGCACCCTCCTTATCACCGATTTTAGATATCTTGCTATTCCCTTATCTCTGGGTTTGTTGTTGATCCCATGTCCCCCCAGAACCGCCAGTCCTGATTCTCTCCTTGGGGTTGTATGCCTGCCTGTCTTATACAGTGTATTAGTCTGGGTACTTTGGAGAAACACATCCACGGCAACTCATATATAAGAGAGTTTTATGTAAAGAAAATGTGCATCACGAAAACATCCCAACCCAATGCTGCCCAAGCCAACAAGTTGAACATTAACCCATTAACCCAACACCAGTCCACAAAGTCTTCCACCTCACAAAACAGAGGCAGTGATGCCGACTGCAGGAGGAAAGCTGAGTCAGTGAACGAACAAGCATCTCAGCAGTAGCAGGGGTCTCCACACGGCTGCTCCAGCACCCAGGGCTGCATCGGGATAGGTCCATGTGTCTTCTCCTTGGGGATGTCTTGTAGGAAGTCAATCTTGCTAGCTGAAGCAGGGAGCTGCTAAGGCAGCTGCACCCGCTGCAACCATCACAAAACAAGAGACCTGAGAACTAGAAAGGCGAGGCTTCACCACCCATTTCTCCCTCCGCCTTTCAACCAACCCCACATGTGATTATCGGCCAGGCTGGCACAATTAACTAACTCATACAGATAGAGAGCGAAAGAAAAACAAAAATAAACAAGGAAAAAAACCGATAGATAGTTCCAGATCTGTCTGCTGACCCTTAAGTATGTTTCCGATCAAGTCTGATGAGGTGCTAAGCTCTGTCTCCCAAGTCAGAGTTTATGTTCAGGATTCCTCGGGGACTTGGTTACTTTGCTCCCCTTGCTGCCCTGTTACACTCACTCCCTTTGTGGTTCACCCTGCTGTACATGGGACCCACCAGGCTCACTTTCCACTCAGTGTCTCCAGTGCTGTCCCTCGTAGCACTATGAGCCAGTGGGGGAGCATCGTGTCTCGTGGTGGGGCTGGCCCTGCAGTCCTCTCTGCACTGACTACTCCAAGCAGGGATGTCCCTGGTGCTTGGTGGGCCTTGGTGAGGTTCTCTCTCTCCCCTCTTAGTTCGCAGCATTGTGGTCTGGACAGACCTGCCTCTCTCCCCCGGACTCTGTCTTCAGTGCTGTACTCTGTATTGCCTTCTGAGGAGTGGGTTAACATAGCTTGGCTTGGGACCAGCCCGTCCTCTGTCTCCATGCCAGTGTACTGCCCTCAAGACTTGGTGCTCTGGGATGGGGTCTGGTCCCTCTCTCCTTTCCTAATTAACCTTCCCTGTGGGTGTATTAGTGCCCTGTTCCCCATCACCCTCATTTCCCCCCCCTCTTTTTTTCTTCCCCCTCTCTTTCACCTTATAGGCAGGTTTTTCAAGGAGCACATTATACTCATTGTTTTCTGGGCCAGTTTGTTATTTAGCTGCAAGGTGACCTGGGTTCATGGTATCTCAGAGCAGCAGTCTCTACCCCCAGTTCACATCTGGTATGTTTTCTTGTTTTTGTTTTAGGAATTTGCAGTTCTGTTTCACATTTTCTGCCATTTCATCAGTGGCTTTCTCGTGACCCTGATTAGCATGGTTGGTAGGGGTAGCTGGGAGCCACTTAGTTCTGGTATCAGGGTAGGTGAAGCTGGGCTTCACGTAGAACAGCGGTAGGGAGTGTTAAGCCCACTGGCTGCATAAGGCCCACAAAATCATCAGTACCAGCTAACATCACTCGCCTCACTAAAGAGAGACAGTTCCAGCTATCACATTCTCACTGCCTTTGAGACAGTGCTAACTCATGGGGACCTTAGAGGACAGGGCAGAACTGCCCCCACGAGTTCCTGAGACTAACTTTATGAGAGGAGGAAACCCCATCTTTCTTCAGCAGAGCGGCTGGTGGTTTCGAACTGCTGATGATATTGTTAGAAGCCCAACGTGTAACCACTATGCCATCAGAGCTCCTGAGGCATCATGTTAGGGCTGAGTTAATGAAAAGTTTGACTAGTACGGCCCGAGAATGTCCAGCATCCAATGGCCTTTGGCAGGGAGAAGTTTCCCGCCCCTGAAACAGTATTTGCTCCACAGACTAGTGTCGTCTAGCCTTCTGTTTTGCTTCATACGAGAGAGGCCCATAGCTGTATGCCCTCGTCTGTTTGACAATCACGCTATTTGCTAAGACTTGAGTATTAAAGCCCAGATCCTTTCTTTGGAACAACTGTTAATCGCCCTGTAATGTTTTCGTCTTACGAACGTTAATCTCATGACCATGTCACTGTGACCCCGTGCCGGCTGCTGAGGAGCTCACGAAGACTTGAAACCCATCTGGCTTCTTTTTTGCCCCTTTCGCTTTGCTTTCCTCCCAGCTTCATCATTGTTTCTTCGACTCTCCAGGTGCAATATTTACATCGTTAAGCTCTCATAAATCCTTTTAAAAATGGTGATGTAAATAAGCTTAAAACTAGTAATAAGAGGGGAGCGGGAGGGAGGGGGGAAAATGAGCTGATGCCAGGGGCTTAAGTGGAGAGCAAATGTTTTGAGACTGATGAGGGCAATGAATGTACAAATGTGCTTTACACAATTGATGTATATATGGATCGTGATAAGGGTTGTATGAGCCCCCAATAAAATGATTAAAAAACAAACAAACAAATACCTAGTAATAAGAATTTAGTTTCTTTGTATGTAACTATAAATTCTTTTGTTACCGTATTAACATATTCCTTCAGTGTATGTACTTTTCTTTCCTCCAAAATAGCATCCATGATGTTAATGTACTTAAAGGTAATCAGTCTAAACATTGAATGAGAATTTAGGCAGTGCAAACCCAAAACCTAACAGACTCACTGCCAGTTAAGGGATTCCAGCTCATAGCAACCCAGTGGACAGAGGAGCGCTGCCCTCGAGGACTCCCCGGCTGCACATCATTGTGGACGCAGTCTGGCACGAGTCGATGCTGGTGCCTGGTGACCCTGAGCCTGAGTAGAGCTGCCTCGTGGGCTTCCGGCCCTCTGTCCTCACAGGAGTACAAAGCCCCGTCTTCCTCCCGAGGAGCAGCGGGCGGCTCTGATGGCTGCCTGATGTGGGACCACCACGCACACCCTCGGCTCTGGGCTTTAGAAATGATAACCACCACCCACCTATATATTGTTTTCATCAATGTAACGCACTTTTTTCTCCTCAGAAAATTAGAGGGCTTGTATCGATGTGATAAATTGATCGTTTACATTATGATGAAAATAGATTCTGTGGTGAATGGAGTGTCAGCTGTGATTTGCGAGTGAACACGGTGGAAATGACAGTCTTCCTCTTGTCTTTCAATAGCTGGATAGGACGTACACTGGCTTGCAGACGCTGGGAGCAGAGACGGTAGGTGTTTTCCTGTGCTGTGATTTAGGAAGAAGTAGAATGAAAATCGTTCATTTTCAATGAGAAAAAATACTCAAGTGCTAGATTTGAAAATAATTGAGCTCCACCCCATTAAAAAATATATATCAGCAGTAGTCATTATTACTGTGTAGGGAAATGCACTGTGTCATTTGGGAAGGTACGGACGGTATTTACTGAGTCCTGATCTAGATGCTGGAGATATAGAAATTGCTACAACGGACTCCTGCCCTTCAGGGGTGGCAGCCGTGCCAGTGTTGAGAGTAGGAGCAGGTGATCAGTAGCAGTAACTTGGGTCTAAGAGAGGTCCGTGGAGGAGATCTGAGGAGCGGCATGTTGGCGGGCAGGCTTTGGGCTCTGGGTGACCTTGCTGCTGGACTCACAGGCCCTGTTGCCCGGCTGTGTAGGTGGTGGATGTTGAGCTCCACCGGCACTCTCTTGGAGAAGACTACATCTGCCCACAGCCCTCTGAATCCGACGTCTCTGACGCGCCCCCGTCCTTGCCTTTAACCATTCCAGCCCCGGTGAAAGCTTCCTCTCCCATCAAGCGGTCACTCGAGCCCGTGCGCGGTTCCTCTGGGGAAAAGGGTAAGAGCAGCTCTTCTGGCAGAGGCCCTCGTGGGCCGCCTTTCCGGCTACGAGTATGTGGGAAACAATTTTCCCATAGATAGATCTGCCACTTCTTCCTACACAGTTCTATTATGGGAGCAGCCATATCTCTGCTCCCTTCAGAAAAGGTGTGTTTTACAAAGCTTAACAATATTTTATAGCGTGAAACCCAACCCACTGCCATCAGCTGGTTCCAGCTCAAAGTGACCCCGCGTGGGGTTCCCAGCCGTTGGTCAAGGTTTGCAGGCGCGGCTGGCCTCATGCTTCTCCAGCTAGAGCACACGCCTCCAAAGAGCAGCGTGAATTTAGTCTTTGTTGGTGACAGGTACATCACCTTCTTTTGTCACTGGGAGGAGAAGACTGTTGTTTGGCCCCTGCTTAGGTACACAGGAAACTTGAAAACTTTGACCGTGGCTGTTTCTCATTTAATACGTACGTCAGCGCATAAGTAAGTAAGTGACCCTGTGCACCGTAGAACGAGACACTGTCCGCATAGTTGTTCCTCTGCTGGAGCGCGCTGTTGTAGCCACTGTGTCCGTCTCACTGAGGGCCTTCCCCCTTCCCTTCACCCTGTCCCGTCTTACCTGCACGCTGCCCTTCTCCAGGGCCTGTGCGCTCCTGACATGCCCGGGAGTGTGTAAGACAAAATCTGTGTATGAGCGGGCTTCAGAAAGTTCATGGGACAATGGAATTAAAAGATAATAAAGGTTTTCCATGAAAATTTTGAAGGCCCCCCTCCCCATAGAAAATTGATTCTAAACCGTGTTAATCTTAACTCCAAGCACACATTTTAACATGTTAATATAGGTATTCGTTCTTTTATGAAATCTCAACTTCATTCTCGTTAGATTTTAGCGTAAAGACTTTAAGGTGTTCTTCTGTGAATTTTTTGATTCTTAATGTAAAAAAGGGTAGAGCATAACGGATGCATGTGCTGTTTGTTACTGTGTGTGATTTAAGGTTGATGTCTCTTCTAATTTTAATTCAATAAAATTTTAATTAAAAATAATTCTAGGCATGATGTATACTTTTCATGCCCAAGTAGAAAACGGTCTGATAAGAAGTACTGTTGATTATTGATTGCACTTGCTTTACTGCTCATCGATTCTAAAAGGATGCCGACCTGATAGGGAGTTTTTATTGTCTGATTCCCTGTTTGGGATGGACCAGTTTTATTACTTCAAAAGGACCTCAGCCTTAGCATTTCCCGGTTTTATTTCAATCAGGATTATTCCCAGCGAACCCCGAAGCGGAGAGACAGACGGCATTTTATTCTCTGCCCTCGTCATTGGAGCGGACACCCACCAAAGTAACAGCCTTGCAGAAGGTCACCTTTTGTTCTCATGGTAATTCTGCTTTCCAGCCAATAGCGTCAAGCTGCAAAACTGTGCCCCCAAGTCAGGTTCCTCACCCTGAGTCGCCGGGAAAGTCCTTCCAGCCCATCACCAGGAGCTGCAAGATTGTCTCAGGTACGCCAAAGGCCCGCCCCGTGCCGCGCGCGTGCACGCGCGGGGTGACCAGACCCGGTTTTTGTCTGTTGAAGAAAGGGAGTTTACCGCTGCTGATAGCTCTGGGGAGTAGTCACTCAGACCGAAACAGGTCTGAATGTGGGAAAGAAATTAAAGCAAAATGTTCACAATTTTTGCCCCGACCTACCTTACTGGCAAAATCTTTGGTAGTGGACCTCCCGGAGGACTGGAACTCAGGGTTGCATAGACGGCAGCCTTGGCAGTTGTGAAGTTGGTAGTTCTTTGCCTCGGGGCAGCCTCACGTTTATGCTGGATAGCCCTCCGAAGCGTCGGCGCCAGTGTGTCCTCTGTGGGTTGGGCTGTTCCAACTCTGAAAAGATGTGAGGGGTAACTGAAACTATCCAGGCAATGAGACGGCTTCTACACAAAACTTAAAAGAAACACCTACAATTAGACAAGCAAACCGAAATGTATTCCTAGCCCTAGAAAGTGATGGAAAGTGTTAGCATAAACACGGATACTTGAAAGCCAGGAAAATGTTCCGTAAAGCAAGTCTATTAGAGGACAAGTCGATGGATGTTTAATTCTACCTTCCACATGGAAACATTCTGTCACTTGATACTTCAGGGATGGAATAACTGAATATATAAATTGATTCGAAGTTTAGTAAAACGTTCCATCAGTAAATAGTTAACCATTGAGACTGTCCTGTGAAAACTTGAATACCCTTTGAGACCGTTCTGTGGAAAACTTGAATAACCTTTGAGAGAGTTCTGTGGAAACTCAAGTTTCTCAGGATTTTGGCTGTGGTCGTGTTGTAAGACATTGGTGTAGGTGAGTGAATTTTATGTTTTCCTTTTGGAAATCAGTTGTAAATCAGGACACCTGGTTTCGAAGTCCAGCTGTTCACTACTAATTCCCTCCCTCAGTTGAGTGTTTTGTAAAGGAGCTGTAGTGGTGTACTGGTTAAGCAGGTAGCTGCTAATCAGAAGGTCAGCAGTTGGAACTCACCCCCCAACTCCATGGAAGAAAGATGAGGCTGTCTGTGCTTCCATAAAGACTACAGTCTTGGAGATCTTTTTTTTTAAATCTTTTAATCCCATTTTCTTTTTTTCCCCCTAATTTTATTAAGGGCTCATACAACTCTTACCACAATCCATATATACATCAATTGTGTAAAGAGCATTTGTACATTCATTGCCCTCATCATTCTCAAAACATTTCCTCTCTACTTAAGCCCCTGGCATTAGGTCCTCATTTTTCCCCTCCCTCTCCACTGCCCCCTCCCTCATGAGCCCTTGATAGTTTATAAATGATTATTTTGTCATATCTTGCCCTGTCTGACATCTCCCTTCACTCACTTTTCTGTTTTCCGTCCCCCAGGGAGGAGGTCACATATAATTCCTTGTAATCGGTTCCCTCTTTCCAACCTACTCTTCCTCTACCCTCCCAGTAT